AAAGGGGAGCTTGGAGCTTAAAACAAGCTCCAACCTCCAAGTTGGTGAGAAACCAACGAGCCAACAAAACAAAGGAAAAAGAAACAAGGAAAACCAAAACAGAACAGATAGCCCACATTTGAAGCACCAATACCACCAAAACCAGAGCAGACAACACAGCCCACAGTTGAAGCACCAATCAGATCAGGACCTGTAGTTAGTAAGGCACCAAGACAGAACAGATATCCATGAAGTACAACGGCCCAAATTACCCACAAAAGCTTTAAACCAACATTGCAGCAGGATAGATCAGAAACAGCATCATTCCTACAAACTGATTAAATATAGCAGCATCAGCAGTTCACCCACCAAGATTGTTATCCCATCACATCTGCATTACGCTACTACGTCCCTACAAAACAGATCATCCTCTGCATCAGTTGCACCAAAACAGAATCACTCAGGAACAGCAGTACACAGGTTATAACCTCAGTGCATTAGGCAGAATTTCACATTCTGCAAATTATACACCAGATCATCAACAGAATAGCAAAAGGAAGGACTAGAGGCCCTGAACCACATTGCAACCCGTGTTTTGATAAGATCACACAACTTTCCAAAATCCAACTGTGACTCGTTAAAGATGATTTCATTCCGTAGCTTCCATAACGACCAAAGCACTGCCAGTGGAATTATCTTCCAAATTACCTTCAATCTGTTTTTACATCTAAACCCAGCCCACCATTGAATAAGGCCCACCACTGACCCTGGCTGTACCCATGATACGCCCCACCATCCAATAATATTAGACCAAACTCTCCAACTAAATGAACAACACAGCAGCACATGGGATACAGTTTCCCTTTCCTTTCTGCAGAATACACAATTAACATCAGAGTTGGGACTTAGGATTCCAATACTTTGCAGATATGTAGAAGTCTTGATCCTCCCTTTCCATGCTAGCCAAGCAAAAAATTGCGCTTTCGGAGGTGCTGCATTCTTCCAAATGAGCTCCACCACTTGTGTAGGCATGGTAGTTGTTAACTCACTCCACTTGTAAGCAGACGAAATGGTAAATATTCCAGATCTGTCCGCAGCCCAAGACAACCCATCTACCACCCCGTACCTGAGCTCTGGAGCAGTTTGTAACAACTCCTTCATTTTCCTCAATTCTTCAACTTCCCATTGAAACATTGCTCTTCTGAAAGACAAGTCCCACCCCCCACTACCAGTACTCGTACTCTTAATCACTGCCACTAATACACCTTGCTGCAAAGACACAGAGTATAATCTAGGGAATAGGTTCTTTAAACAGTCACCACCAACCCATTGATCCAGCCAAAAACTTATGAGCCTCCCATCCCCAATGGCGATCTTTGAGTTGGCCTTAAGTACCTCCATCAGCTGTGGACACTTAAGAGCCACCTTCAAAATATCCCTCCATACCATAGAATATCTGGAATTTACATCTTGAGCTGGCCACCTAGATCCACCATTATGTGGGTACTTGCTGATAATCACTTTTTTCCAAATAGATTCAGATTCACTCCCAAACCTCCACCACCATTTGAGAAGAAGACATTCATTCATGGTTCTCACCTTTCTAATACCTAGACCCCCGTTACTCTTGCTTTGAGTAATTTCTTCCCATTTTACCATATGTATTTTCCTTCTAAGTTCATCACCCCCCCACAAAAATCTGGACTGAATTTTATCAATTTCTTTGGCTACCCCTTCAGGCATTCTAAACAAGGATAAATAAAACACTGGTAGTGAAGATAGCACAGACTTGATCATTGTCAACCGACCAGCGAAGGAAAGAAGCCTACGCTTCCATGAAGCAAGCTTTGATTTGAATTGATCTATGACAGGTTGCCAAGACCTTCTCCTCCTTGGATTAGCCCCCAATGGCATCCCTAAATACTTCAAAGGTAGTTTGTGATGCAGACAATTCAGTATGGCAGCAAAATCTTTGGTAAGATCTTCATTAATGCCAACACCGCTCACTACACTTTTGTGATAGTTTATCTTCAACCCAGACAAGATTTCAAAGCATCTCAATATTCTTTTGATATTAAGCACCTCCTCCCTCCTTGCCTCACAAAACAAGATTGTGTCATCGGCAAATTGTAGGTGGGTAATAGTAAGATCATTAGAACCAACTGATGCACCCTTGATTAGTCCAGCCTGGACAGCTCTATGCAACAGAATATTAAGACCCTCAGCTACAATGTTAAATAAAAAGGGGGATAAAGGATCACCTTGTCTGAGACCCCTTTGAGGACTAAACTCAGCTGTAGGTGAACCATTCACCAGAATAGAGATTTTGGCAGTTGAGACACATTCCTTCATCCATCTGATCCATTTTGCACCAAAACCAAAATTTGATAACATAGAGAATAGAAACCCCCAATTTATTGAATCATATGCTTTCTCGAAATCAAGCTTTAATACAACACCTTTCTTTTGCTTCTTCTTCCAATCATCAACAATCTCATTAGCAATCAGAATACCATCAAGGATGCTTCTACCCCCTATAAAAGCTGATTGAGACTCACTAATGATCCTTGGTAAAACAGTTTTGAGTCTACTAGATAACACTTTGGAGAGCACTTTGTACAATGATCCAATAAGACTGATTGGCCTAAAATCACTAAGAGAATATGGATTTTCATTCTTAGGAATCAAGGCAACAAATGAGCTATTAATACCAAAGACCAGCTTAGAGTTAGTGTGAAACTCACTCATGAACTTCATCACATCCCCTTTAATTATATGCCAACATTTCTGGAACATCAAAAGGTTAAATCCATCCGGGCCAGGGGCCTTATTTCCATCACAACTCTTAATAGCTGCCATAACTTCATTTTCTGTGAACTCAGCTTCCAAAGCAACACACTCCTCTTCTTCCCCAATCGACTTAAAAGGACCATTTAAACTTGGCCTATCAAACCATGATTCTGAAAACTGCCTCTGAAAGTGATTAAGCACTTCTGTTCTAATTTCCTTAGGATCTTCAGTGAAGACCCCATTAACCTCAATTAAGCAAAGTGCATTCCGATTCCTTCTCGTGGAGGCCATGATATGGAAAAATTTAGTATTTCTATCGCCTTTTAGTGACCAGTTAGCTCTAGACTTTTGTAACCATACCCATTCAACCATTTTACTCAAATTCCATGCTTCGCCTTTTAATTCCCTAAATTTAGATCTCTCTGTCTCAGTGAGTACTCTTTGCTCAACTAACAAATCCAATTCATGTATCTCCTCCTCCAGTTGCTTTAGCTTTGAATCCACCTTACCAAACACCTCCAGGTTCCATCTTTTCAATGCTGCTTTAAGTAATCTCAATTTCTGTAGGCATTTGAATCCAGCCCAACCACTGACATGAGATTCAGCCCAAACTTTCTGCACAAAGTTCTTGAACTTCGGATGAAGACACCATGCATTTAGAGACCTAAAGGGCTTTGGACCCCAATCTCTTTCATCTTCCATCATTAAAATAGGACAGTGATCCGAGAGCCTTCTTGGTAAACCGCACAATTTAAAATTAAATTTTTGCAACCACTCTGGGCTGAGTAAAAATCTGTCCAGCCTGCTCCATTTGACACCATTCTGAGAATTACACCAAGTAAACTTTCTCCCCAACATTGGTAAGTCACACACTTCCAGGTTTTCGATTAGCTCGTTAAAATCCTTCATACCGCCACATCTTTGAGAACAACCGACCCTCTCAGAATAAAACCGAATCTCATTAAAATCACCCCCCAAGCACCAAGGGTTAATAAAATTTCTCTTTAAATTCTTCAAAGTTTCCCATAGTCCCTTCCTCTTAACACCATCGGTCGGGCCATAGACATTGACAATAACACAAGCTATACTAGAAAATAGAGTGCCAGACAAAATGATAAAATACCTGTTACAGCAACAGTCCAGCATTTGAAAAGCTTGTGGATTCCAGACACACAATAGTCCACCAGCTGCACCCTCTGAGTCCACCGCCATATACTCCATCTGATCCCCAGGCCAACAAGATCTGACAAATTCCTCAGTTATAGCAGGTCTCTTAGTTTCCTGAAACAATGCCATATCCACCTTCATTTCGAAGAGAAGTTTTTTGATTTTTCTCCTTTTCATGGGCTTGCCTAGCCCTCTAACATTCCAAGATAAGACCTTCATTAACACCAATTTGCCCACCAAAAGCTCCACGGCAGATACATATTATTCTGCCTTGCTGCCCCTTTTACCCAGCACCTCCTTATCCTTAACTTCCAGTTCCATCAATTTGCTGATTACTTCCTCATCCTTACCTTTACATTTCAGCCCAAGAAGCTTCCCTATCTTCAGAGATGCTTCTGCCTCATTAAGAAGCAACTGGCTAGAGACTGATTTGTTGGCCATGGACAGTGAAATAGCTGCAGCTGCCGACCGAAAAATAGCTCCCTTCCTGAAATTCAACACTGATCCAACCCCTATTTGTATGTTTCCTTTTTTCTTCCTCTGGTATTTCACCATCCCTTTACCTTTCTCTTTTATGGTAGTCTTCCTCGTTTGATCTGCCACTACCAGAGAACAAGTTGCTACACCGTAGGTCTCCTTGACCACACTGTCAAGAGCTTCTTTACCTTTGCTATTTTGGACTTCATCCTCCTCTATTAGCTGATCCTTTGGATCACTTAACTCTGAATATCTATGGCCCAGGTTGTTACCACATTGTAGGACATGGGCCTTATGTAATAACACCTCTAAGTTAAGCCCAGGTGCATTTTTTTCTGGCCCACTAAGACTCTTCATAAAGCCTGAAGTAGCAACAACATCTGCTACAAGCTGGTTGCCTCCAGTTTGAATCTGAATGGGAGTTAGCCCTGATTTGACTGACAGACATCCGCATGCTTCCCCTCCATCTCCAGGTTGCTTCGGCAGACAGTCCAGCTGCCCTATCGACATGATGGACTCCTCAACCCTAGATGTACTTAGCTCCCTCTGTTGACCATCAGTAGCCGTATGATCATCATTTCCTACCCTTAGCCCTTTTCCCCCACAACATCTGTGTTATCCAGCTCACCACCACCGTGGCCCTCCACATCAGCTACATCTTCACCCTCTTTGCTCCCTACAACGGATCTCTGCTCTTGATCCTGCTCCTCACCATTTGAATTTGAATTTGCCATTTGGGCCTGTTCACTATAGCATTTACATTGCTTGTATATCACCTCTGAGATTACCACCTGTTCTTCACACACCTTGACTGGAAAATCGATTCCCTTGCATCGCAGAATAATGGTTGTGTTTATGGACTCCATGCACTTAGTAGCAATCCTCACCTTACCACTGTGAAAAGACATCATTCTGGATGTATCCTCATCAATGCCTATGACCTCTCCCCATACCCTTCCAATGCTACTAAACGTATTGCTACTCCAGAGATTCAGAGGAACACCATAACAAGTGAGCCATACAGATCTTTCTTGATCAAGGATCATCCCCTGCTGCCATACCTTGACGGATTCGCACCATGGCTGACTCCACCCCTCCATCGATTTGAGCTTCTCATTCAAGGAGCCCGCTGATTCAAACGTTAGCACAATATCTCTTCCCCCTCCATCTCTAACGTAAACATTTCCCATTCCTCTGTTCTTCAATTCCTCTTTGAACTCCCCCGCACATATGTGAGATTTCAATCGAACAATTGCACTTTCATACAACCAACCATTCCCCTCCTCATAAGTTTGGATACTAATGTTTGAATTTGAAACCAGCCCTGAACCAGTCAATATTTGTGCAAACGACTTTCCCCTTTGTATCGTATTTGTAGCTCTGCTGATTGTGGCAAAATCCCGTCTTTGTAGCGTATCCATACCTTTGCTTGTTGTGGCAAAATCCCTTCTACCAACTGATGTACTTACTGGTTTCTGGTTGTCCTCTTTTCCTTGAGCAAAATCTGCTATCTTCACTTTCAAAGCTCTGTTATCGCACCAGATACCATGAGCTTTTTGGACCGCTATGTTCGTTGCCACTGGACAGTCGTACCGGACAAACCCAAATCTTGATCTAGTCACCTTTCTCCTTTTGTTAGGGATGAACACATCCTTCACTACCCCAAAATTGATGAATATGTTATACAACCCTTTTGGGTCCATAGATTCTGGGAGATTATCCACAAAGATCGTGTGAATCTCATTACTGAGATCTGAATTCCTACCACCCTTACCACTATACTTGCGCAGAACCGGCTTCCACCCTCTGTCTTCCACCATCCTTTATAACTAAGTTGATCTTTGTGACCAAAATGTTGTCATATTTGACGACGACAATAAAGTGTTGGCTTATGAGGAAGCTATTGTTTGTGAATATGATGAGGAAACTGATATTTGTGAATATGAAGGAGTTCCAATTTTTGACTATGATGATGAAGATGACTATTTTTGTAGGGAGTGAAGGTGCCCTTAAAGATGAAAGTTTTGTAGGTAAAGAAAGTTTTTTTCTTACATTGCTTCCCATGAACGAAGTAGTTGCAATCCCACCTTCTATCCCTTTTCTAGATTCCAAAAAAATTACGATGGAGAGTGATGATATTGAAGTTTCATGGGTGTTGAATGATCTTTGCTTCTGAGAAATGCTCTTATGTCATCTTCCAAGCCATTTGTTCCACTTTGTGTTGATTTGGTGCCCAGCCCGGCTTGTGGAGGAAGAATGAGTTTATTCTTGGGCCATGCAAGAAGCGTTATTTTGATGACATCTTGCTTCCAAAACGGCATGCTACAACATGATCTATTCACACCTCAACATGGCTTCAGTTGAGGTGCATAAATGATAACTCATGTTATGGAATGATATTTGCCAGGCTGAACTTGAATAAGGACTTACAGCTATTTAGTCATGCTCGTCGTTATATGTTTGTTATACTTCCATGAGTCATTTTGATGATGTTGTTATCTTGAGTCATTTTGTTATAATCCCAACTTGATGATAAGTTGTTTTCTTTAGAGGGGAAGTCTGATGTAGTTAGGATTAGTATGATTGACATGTTTTAGTATCATATGAGTTAGTTAGAGTTAGTTGGGTCTTTTATCCTATAAATAGGTGGTTGGGCCCTTCTAGTATTCAATTTTATGATATTTTGATAATATATTTTCAAAGCTTGAGAGCGTTTGTACCCATTTTGAAATTTTCTCTCTAATGAAATCTCGCTCTTGATTTGGCTCCATCACAATAGCATTGTGAAAAATTATATTACTCATATTTGTTCAATTATTACTTATTTGTTCACGTGTCTTTTATTTGTCTAAATGTTATCTACATGTTCACATGTCACCCCCTATTGACCTATATATCCACGTGTCACTTATCTTTTCATCTATTTGTTAACTTAATTTGTTTATCTGTTCAAATCACCACCACCACCCTTGTCATCCCCTGTTAGCCACTTTTTTCAACGACTTTTCCAAAGTTAGCAAAAGTGGTGTATGAGGATGTAACAACGCAAAGGTGAAAGGCAAGAAAAATTCTTCAAAATAATAATTTGCCTTTTTCACATAAACTTTGTTATCATGTCTTTACGTACAAAACAAATCAATCATTAGACCTAATGCCATAAACACTTGTGGAAAAAGACTTTTCACCATTTTTTTTAAGCTTTAGATTCTTTCAAGTTTAAATATGAACTTGAGGGAATCTAGGAGGCTTCCCCACATATGAGTCATGTTTTGATAATCTGAATCGTTCATTTTGTAGCGCCCTCAGTGTATATCATCTATGGAAAAAATTAGATTGATTGACAACATTTTCATTTTATCACAAATGTCTTCAAAAAAATAAACGACAAGTATGATTTTGAAAATATACTATCTATATTTTTGTAGGCAAACACGATAAAATAAAAATGCTATGATTATCAGAACGATTTAATTTTTTTCAAGAATGACATACGCGGAGGACCCTATAAAGTGAACGATTTCAATGATTGAAATAAGACATGTAATGTGCCCCTACGAACCTCTCAAATTCTCTTAAGTTTAGTTGCTAAACCATTTTTTATACTATTTTAATAGATGAAAATTGTATTTTATTTAGTAAATTATTGCAACGATTTTTTGGAGCTGCTTATAACAACTACATATTTCTCATTAGACTTTCAATTCTTTGATTTTCACCTACCTAAATTGCTTCCTATCATTTTTTTTCTCCTTCTTTTTGAACACCCACCTTGATTCCAATTATACTGTCATCCCTATCAATTTGAAATCTTAACCTTTGTCACCTCTAATCACTGCCACTCCACCGTAGATAGCCCCCACTCTTAGCCAATGCCCAACCCTAGCTCCTTATTACGCCCCAATTTTCAAAAGTTGATTAGGCAAAATCTAATTAACCTAAGTGTGAGGTTTTTAAGTAAAAACTCCCATTATTACTTAATTGTTTCTCAAAAATCATTTTCTTCAGCCAATTCTCATTCAATTATGACAATTAGGTTTTTTTCCTTCTAAAACAACCCATTATCTTTTGATTGAAAATCAATGGAAATATTCTTGTTATTCATTTTTCTCTTGTAAATAAAGTAGATGTCTTTCTCAGACATAACACTCACCCTCATATGGTATGCAAACCCATGCAAATTGAAATACATACATAATAAGAACAAGTACAACATTAAGTTTATAGACCTTACAATAATTCCCCAAATGAATAACAAGGCTCACATACCCAACTAACTAATGATCTAATCATTACACTACCAAATAATTGCTCTAATCAAGTCATGGTTGAGCGTGTCCATTTGAACATAACAAGTAGGGAGTGAGTAGTGATACTCACCTGACAATAATCTTATTTATTCTAAATAGGGGTGAGTATGGCCTGGATTGGTCCGAATTGGGGTAAAACCAGAACCAATCTGTTATCTACAGTTCTTGAAAAATTAGAGCTAATCCAATCTGTTTAAATTGTGAAACCAATCCGTTTAAACAAGGATTGGATCAATTTAGGACCATGGATTCACATAATTAAATAGCAAAAAAATATATAGAACATTTAAAGCAAACAAAAGCAAACAGCATCATGTGTTAAATGATCAACAAAAACTACAACATATAAAATAACAAAAGCCATTAAAACAGTATCACTAATTCTCCAAAATGTCATCTTATGTAACAAAATTCCAAGCAAACAAATAGAAATAGTAATAGACAACAAGAAACAAATTTAGCAGTAGTAGACATTTTCCTTTCCACAAATTCTAAGCAAACAAACAGAGATAAACTAGTTTTAGACAACAACAAATAAACAAACAAAAACATGAATAAAACAAAAGCAGCAGCACAGAAGCAACACAGCAGCAACATCAACAAACAAAAGCACCACAGCAGCAGCAATAGTAGTGCAGTATCAATAGCAGCACAACAACAACAGTAATAGCAAACTCCACATCACAGCAAGCCAAATCACTTTCCAGCAGCAATGTTAACATTGGTTAGAGCTGCAGAAAAATTAATTTCAATTTAAAGTAAAAAATAACACAATACATGAATGTAATTTAAATGATAAATTGAATATTAGAATTCTATTACCTCTTTCTATATCCTCCAAATCTGCAAATTTTTCTTCCATCTCAAGTGGCAATGGCAAAGCACGCAACCAATCTTATGTACAAATTAAACTTTCAACAAGCTTTGGAGTAAGAGACCTACAAAATTGGTCAACGATACGACCTCCTGTGTTGAAAGTAGACTCGGAAACAACAGTAGAGATAGGAATGGCCAAAATATCCCTTGCAACTTGACAAAGAACTTTATATCTTGAAGAATTTGTCTTCCACCAACTTAAGATGTCAAAGTTTGCAACTTCCTTTTCACAAGATTCTTCCAAATACCTATCTGCTTCTAACTTGCCTCCATCACCTTTTTCTTCCTCCAAAAGCTTTTGAAATTTTGTCATAAGAGACACTTGGTGCTCACTTGCACCAATGTTTACTTGATCAACAATGTCTACCTCATGAACCATTTCATTGCAAAATGAAGCAACTGTCTCAAACTGTTTATACTCATCAAAAATGTTATTCAAAGTCTCTCTTACTTTTTGAGTGAGCTCACTCACCATGGCAGGTTGATAAACTTCAAAATAACAAAACCTCACATACTTCAACTTATAACGAGGATCTAACACAATAACAATCAATAACATCATATTCATTTTTTCAATTTTTCCCCAATACTTGTCAAATTTAGTCTTCATTTGTATTTCTAAACTCTTTTCCCATTCAGTTAAGGCACTTTCTATAGCACAAACTTCAGTGAAGTACAAGTTGGAAATGACATACAAAGAACCAGACAAGCAAACAGTTGCATCATAAAACTTTTGCAAAAATTGTGTAAAAACATGAGCATCTTCCCAATCTTGAGTGGTATGAGGTCCATGATTAATTTCTAGTTTGAAATGTGGGTCCTTATCCTCTAATCTCTTAAATACTTTTTGAAACTCAAAGAGTCACTGTTTTTAGAAAACTTCATTTTCACGTATGCAATAGCTACATCATTTATACTTGCATAATCCACAGTGATTGTATTAATCTTCTCTATACCCCAATCAACAAAACATGATTCTACTGCCTTACCAATTGCCTCCCCTTTGTGACTAGAAATCACACTAAAGTTGAGAATTCTTTTTTGAAAATTCCAGTCTTTATCAATAAAGTGGGTTGTTAGGCACATGTATGAAACATTTTGTAGAGATGTCCATGAATCCGCAGTGAGACAAAGTCTATTGTTTGATTTCTTCAACGAATTTTTTAGTTTTTTCTTTTCACTACAATATAAATCCACAATATCCCTTGCCACTGTCAAGCGTGAAAACTTTTTGAAATTAGGTTGCATCATGCTACAAAATTGACGAAATCATTCACGCTCTACAAACCTAAATGGCAACTCATCAATGATTACCATTTTAACAAGTGAATCCCTACATACTTGTTGATCAAATTTCCAAACACCAAGAGTTTTTTCACCTTCTGTTACAGATTAAAATGCCAAAGTCTTTTGTTTTTTATTTTCTTTATTCTGAGGGGACTTAGGACAGTTTGTGATATGTTTTCTCAAAGTGCTAGTTTCATTTGCACTAATTCAAGCATAAGAAGCTTTACAATGGTTACATTTAACACATGCAGCAGTCTTACTCCCTTCTTTAAAAATTTTGGTAAAATACTCCCAAACTTCAGAATATTGTCGAGCTTTTGGATTAGGAGAAAGAGGGCATACCTTTGAAC